GGTTTCCATAACCATAATTTTCTAGGTGGTCTCCCAGGCTTCCATTCTGTGAGATGACTGCATTGGCCATGATGCCAGGGGAGATGCTGGGTGGATGGGATGGGGAGAGAAGAAGTGGAGGAGGTGGGAAGGGAGTGGGCACATTTTGGACCAGCTCCAGGCGCTAGGGAGCCCAGCCCATGATGGAGAAGGGCCGAAGCACCCTGGGGCGGGGCTGTCAGAGGGCGGGAGAGAGTATGGATCAGAATGAAGATGAATAGAAGAGGTATCACTTTTTCGGAGAGTTCCTAGGGATTCATACTGGCCCTGGAGGTCACTGGGGGTTAGGGACAATAAAAGCTTCATTCCCACCACACCTAACATCCTGCCCTGGTAGGTGCTTCTTATGTACTTGTTAAATGAATTTGTTCTACCCACTGAGTCCTCCCAAGGCTCACCTCAGATGACACAGGCAACCATCTAGTGCCATGGGGTCTGGTTCTATTTTAGAAAATGAAAAAGAGTCAATCCAACCCCTACCTGTCGCTTCTCCAGTCCTGCCTCATTTCAAGGTTGGTGGGTTCTCTGCATTTCTATTTTCAAGTAGGTACCTCTGCTCTGGAACCACTCCAGCCTGGGTTCCAATCCTGGCTCTGCCATGTCCTAGCTGGGAGACCTTGGAGAAATAACTTTCCCTCTCTGGGTCTCAGTTTCCCCATCTGAAAAACAGGGATAAGGTCATCATGAGGACTTGCCAAGACCGTGCATGTGAAGGACTTAGCACAGGTCAGGCCTCCTCCACCCTCCAAAAATTCATGTAGAGAATTGAATATCAACTCTGCAGAGAGACTGGTTTCTGAGAGGTGAGGAGGAAAGCGAGATCTGTGATCTCAGGAGGAGAAAGCAAGAAAGAATACTATTCTCATACAAACTCAGGAAGACAGAAGAGGAAGCTTCCTTCTTATTTTAGGGAGCCAGCATTACCCAGATCAAAAAAGTAAACACAGACAAATGAAGAAAACCACATGAACATCTCTCAATTCAATGATAATTAGGAAGGGTAATTCATGTGGAATTTCTCCCAGGTCTGCAGAAATGGTCATTCAAAGACCACATATTAGGATTCACCATGGTTCTGACTGATTCGTGTCCTCTCAAAAGATATATTTAAGTCCCATTCCCAGGTACAAGGGCTGATGAAGGTCCCTTGCACCTGTGAATGGACCTTGTTTAGAAATAGGGTCTTTGAAGATGTTTTCAGTAGCCATGAGGTCAGACTGGAGTAGGTGGGTGCTAACATGACTGGTGGCTTTCTAAAGAGAAAATACACAAAGACAAGGAGGCAGTGGAAGAATGGTCATGCGATGGCCGAGGCAGAAGCATCTGCCAGCCAAGGAACTCCAAGAATTTCTGGAGCCACCAGACGCGATTAGAGGCATAGAACAGTTACTGAGTTCTCAGAGAGAATCACCACAGCTGACGTCGTATTTGAGGTCCTAATCTCCAGGACTGTGCAACAATAAATATTCAATTTGATAAGCCCCCCAGCTTGTGATGTTTTATTACAACAGCCTTAGGAAGCAAATGCAAACATTTTAAAAAGAGGGGTAATTATTGGCTTGGGAGGACCTGGATGATACAAATGATCAAGTGTGCAGTTGCTTAAGTTTAATGGTTGAACCCAACCAAAGGCACCTTGGAGGACATGCCTGTTGATCTGTTTCCGAGAGGTCACAGTCTTGAAAACCCTATAGCAGTTCTATTCTGCACACATGCGGTTGTCACGAGTTAGGGTCGACCCAATGACCACTAACAACAATAACAGTAGTTGGCTTTAATCACCAAAATGCATTCAAGATTCCTGTGTATACACATGTTCACAGTTTCTCTCTTGTTTTATCACGAGGCTCTCGAATCTGTCATCCAACCTCCCTGTCACCCACCTACTTCCCTGCTCAGACTCTCTCCAGGAACAGTAACTATGAAGAGTTCCTGAAGCAGCTGCAATTTCTTCCCTCTCTCCCTCCCTCCCACTCTCTCACTCAAACCATGCTCTTGCAGGATCCCCCACAGGGTCCACCTGAGATATCAGGATAGCATCAGGTCCCACCACCTCTGGGTCTCCCTGGTTGCAGAGTCCAGGGTCTGAAGAGATGTCAAAGAGTGGTCAGTTCTAGGGGTGCTCGGTCCAGAGAAGTGAGAGCCTTCATTATCAGTGAACAGTGGGGTCAGCAAGGTGTCTCCTGGTTCCTTCCATGCCAGGATACTTATAACTGCTGTTAAGCATGGGCCATGTGCCATGTACTGTGTTAGGTGTCCACGACTCCTCCACAGGGATCCCTGTTGTCCCTATCTGACAGATTCAAAATACCAGAGCTCAGGGAGGGGTTGTCACCCCTGTCAGGAAGTGCTGGTGATGGGTCAAGACCCAGGTTTCCAGCCCCCAGCCATTGGAAGCACTGTAGGACGTGCCTCCCAGGTCATACTGCTGCCATCCCCACGAACCTTTTCACTAGAACCGTTTGTTAGGCCCCTCCCAGGTCTTAGAATATTTGCTGTGAGACCTCTTATCTTTGGCAACATCCTGACCTCCAGGGACCACCCATTCACCCCTGCAGAAGCCAAAGCCCTGGGGAGCCATGCCCCTGCTCAAGGTGTAGCCCCGGACAGCAGCTGCCTGTCTCCAGACCAAATCTGGAGCCGGATTTGCCCTGGATGACAGATTCCAGAGGGTGGGGGCGAGGAGAGAAGGAAGACTTCCTCACCCGTTCTGTTTAGCATCTTCCAAAGGCACCACCCAACAGCATCTGTGGGAGTGTGTGCAGAATATATTTTAAAGTCTCCAGCACCAGGCAGAGTTCAGGATTGGAAATTGAGTGTTTTAATTGTGGTGGCCCAGCCAGGTTGGCACCCCTAAGGTCCTTCAGGGCAAAGACAAGGTGCAGATCCCCCTATACTCCCAGCAAGGCTAGGAGCGCAGGTGCCCAGGGACAAACAAGGGTCTAGGGGTCTTGTCTGCAGGGACTGGATCCCTGGGGTGGACTGTAGTCAATAAGAATGTGAGATCCCTGCAGCAGGAAGGCAGGCAAACTATTTCTACCAGCAGCTCTGTTGAGCTCATCCCTACAACTCCTTGTACAAAGACTCACGAGGGAATCTGAGGACCTGGAGAGAACATGGGAAGACCTAGCTCAAACCCCACTATGTTGTCTCCTAGCTCAGTGACCTTGGGCAACTCACTTCTACTCTCCAGGCCTCAGCTGTCTCATCTATAAATCGGGCATGTCACAAATCACAGGGTAGTTTGTGAGGTGTTGATAGCGTGCTCACTCAGGGAACCCAGAGCCTCAACCTCATCTAATGCTTCTTGCGCTCTGGGTCCAACGACTCTGAACCTTACTGGTCTTGATGGGCATTGTCCCTTATACCTTTTGGTCTTTGCACCTCTCTCCCATGGCTGAGACCATTTGTCCATTCCTTTCTGGCTCACTCTAGCCCAGCTTAGATTTCCCCTTCACCAGGACTCTGATGCCCCAAGATTCAGTCTAGGTACCTTTTCTCCAAGTCCCTACCATGTCTGTATGTCCCTCATTGCAGCTCTTGGAAGGTTCCACTGGGTTTGTTTGATTATGTGTACCCCTCCTCAAGAATAGGGGCCAGGCCAACCAAGAACCAGGAGGGGGTTGTAGGAGGGCTTGAAACTGGGGAAAAGAGGCTCTTTGGTTCCAGGGGAGACTTCGATTAGCAACAAAGGAGGGGGAGGGCTTCCAAAACTGTTCATGGTCCAGGCCCTGGGCAGTGTGGCCAGTGGGGAATGGAACATGAGATGGTGACCTTAGGGAAAATGGACTAGTCTGCAAAGTCCAGGGGCACCTCTGCCTGTGCCTACTGCCTCCAGATCCCTCATGGTGCCATAAATCCTGCCTGGGACCCAAGAAATCAGGGATCCCTTCCACCTCTTCACAGAGACTGAGGATGCTGGAGTGGTTGTATTTGACAAGGAAATAAAAAACACGAGAGAATCCATCTGCATATCATCTGTATTGTCACATGAAATGCATATCCATAAACAGTTGACTTGAAACGACCTATTAGGTCACATGGAGTCCAGCCCCTGGGGGCCAAAGTGGCACCGATGCCCTGTCCATGGCCAGTGTGTTGTGTTAGGTAGCTTTCCACAGGTTGTGGCAGGGAGTGCCTGGCCTAAGGCCAGGCACTGGGAGAGGCCAGCTCAAGCCCCAGGCCCTTTGGCTCCCAGGCCAGCATCTCCCACGCACTTGGGGAAACCATAGTTCCTTGTGAGGTTACTCATTGTTCCATGGGAAAAGGGTGCTGTTGTCAAATACATTTAGGAAACATGGGGTTCAACAAGGTTCAACAGGAAATTAGTCTACCAGACTTGACTCATGAATCTCCAACATGGGGGCAGAAATGTTGCATTTCCCAGATGTATTTGAACCACAAAATCCTTTTTTCTCCCCAAAGCATCTTGCAGGCTGATGTCTCACAAGGCACCCTTTGGAAAGTGCTGTCTTAAACTGTCAATGATCATTAATGGAAACAGGCACCTGCATTAGATGGTGGTTTGGGATATTTTGCTGGGCATCGTGCTGTGGTGTGATGGGCACAGCCAAGGACTCAACAGCAATGACAACAAAAGGACAAGACTCCGCCCCTCTTCTGCCATCTTGGTTCTCGCCTATCGTCTTCAGAGCAGAAGTCTAGCAGGGCCGTCTCCATAACTGGAGCCCGGACAGCCTAGAGAGGAACCATGATTCCAAGCAAAGGGGCAGGTGGTGCCCAGCACTACCAAACACTTCAGTCGCCAGGGTCAGTCATCTTGGGGTTGCCAGCCTCCAACCAGGAAGGAAAAGATTAATTGAGGGTGGCTGACTCCAACTTGTTGGGGTTGGGGGGTAGAGGTGGGGGTTGCTGGCTCACCACCCCGTGCTGACTCCTTCATCCTCCTTCAGCCTCTTTCTGGCCATCCTAACCCCTGGCCATCCTGGGAAGGTGGATCTCCAGTGGGCGCTCACCAGGCCGAAATGAGCATCTGGCAGGTGTTTGAGGACATCCAGACCAGCTCCACCAGCCGGAACTGGAAGTAGCCAATGATGAAGCCGGAGATGACATCTGTAATGTGGTGGCGCCCGATCATCACTCGCGACAGGCCCACACAGAAGGCCCAGAGCACCAGGAGAACCCGCAGGGGCACTGCCAGCACCAGGTGGCTGAGGAAGAACTTGGCTATCATGGCGGCACGGCTGGCATGCCCGGCTGGGAAGGCGTAGATGTCCATGGTGAGGTAGTCCAAGAGGCTGGGGCTTGTCTCATACGGACCTCGCCGTTTGATGAGCTTCTGTACGCCGGCCACTGTCATAATATCCAGGAGCAGGGCTGTGGGCAGGAGAGACAGGTACAGAGGCCATCAGAGCCATGCCCCAGGCCATGCTGTCCAGACCCTGCCCCTGACCTTTGCCTTCACCACCACACTGCAGCACACGCCCACCTCAGAGTCTGCCCTGCTGTGCCCTCCACCTCAATAGGAGCCTTCCCTAACCACATCGCGCTCTCTCTTCCTCATCCAGCTTTATTTTCCTTTAGAATGTTTCTCACCATCTGACATATTACACATTTTCTAGTTGGTTTGTTTCTTCTCTCTCTTCCAACCATATGCTCCATTGTTATAGTATAACTAATATCCCCCATTTGAAATATTATAGTGTAACAGCCCCCATTTGAAATATTATAGTATAACTAACAGCCCCCATTTGCCATTTGAAATATTATAGCATAGTTCACCCTGCTCCTCCCCTTTCTCTCCACCTCACCCTATGGAAAAATAATAAACTTCTTACAGAAAAACCTTGAAGGCCAGAATGACCCAAGGACACCTGAACAAACAAGATAAAACTTAGCCCATCCATACAACCAAGATAAGGGTTTACTGGTGGGTTTACTCCCACTTACAGCATAAGGGTCTGGTGGAATTTACCAGCTGACAAGACAAGTCTGTGTGTTCTAACCGCTCTGTTTCTTGTATAAAACCCTGTTCCCTTCCTCACTTCAGGGTCAGAGTGATTTGGACTTGAGCTGACGACACTCTGGCCACCAGCAATAAACTTTGCTCTTTAAGATTTTGAGGTGAGTTCTTTCTGACTGGTGCTGCCGGAACACCATGAAGGTGTGGTCCCACTTTGTTCAAGGCTGGGAGGTGTGAGGGAGTCTCTAGGGGGTACAAATGGTTAAGTACTTGACTGCTAACCAAAAGGTTGGCAGTTCAAATTCACCGAGAGGCAGTTTAGAAGAAAGGCCTGAACATCTACTTCCATAAACTCAGCCACTGGAAACACTGGAGCACAGGTCTACTCTGAGGTCACCAGGAGCCTGAATTAGCATGAAGGTGATTGGTGGGATTTTTTTTTTTTTTTTTTGCTTTGGGAGATGTGAATGAAAGAGTGGGTGATCAGGGCTTCATGGGTCATTACAGACACCTGGGGTGGGGTACATACACAGGAGGCCCTGGGCTGTGTGATTTTCTCAAATGGTCTCACTGATAGCCCTGAATGCTGGCCTATTAGCACCATTCCCATGTTACAGAGGACAAGTCAAAGTCGCAGGTTCCTTGGAACATTTATCTCTGCTGTTGCTTTTTTCTGGAGTGCTCCCTGCTTTCCCTCCCTACTGGCTTATTCCCCTTTCTCCTTTAGGCCTCATTAAATGACACATTCACAAGGAAGCGTTCCCCGATGCCCAGACCAGGACAGATTCTGACAGGTTCTCTCAGCCCCCAACATTTCTCCTTCATGGTCCCTGGCCAGATCTAACCAAGAAGAATTTTGGGTGGGGAGAGGTTAGGGCTTGTTCCTCCCATTCCCACATTAGCACTCATGGAGACAAGGGCCATAACCCCTAGTGCCAGACAGCAAGTGACAAACACCAAGTGTTACTGGAATCTCTGGCCCAGGGCTAGTGGCCAGAGGGGTGGAGCAGGGATTCCAACTCTACCTGAGCTCTTTCCCTCTTTGGGTCTCCATCCCATCTCTGTCATCACCCTCCTGTGCGCTTCTGGAGGGACTGCCCAGTCTCCCACAGCTAATCACAGTGGCTCCCAGACAACCAGTGCAGGAAGCTCCAGGAAACTCCTCTGCTGTGAAGCTAGGGTAGCATCAGCAAGGCCAGATGGCTCCGTCAACACTGGTGCACCATCAGCGGAGAGACTTGTGCCCAGCCCTAGAAACAAATGGTCCCAGGAGACTTGGCTTGATCCTAATGGAGTCACAGCACCCATAGCCCTTCTTCAGGGGAAATGGAAGACAAAACCAACCATGTGGTGAAGCACTGAGTGTCATAGTGTCATCAAGGCTCTGGGCTGTGTGACTTTGGACAAGTGCCCTAACTTTCCTGAACTGTAAATTCGAGATAATCCCTGGTTATGTTGTGAGGCCAGGTAAAATCCGCACAAGGGTGCCTGGCACCATGCCTGTAGGGTGATCAATTGTCCTGGGTTTGCCCAGGACAGAGGGGTTCCCCAGGATTTAAGACACTCAAGGCAATAGAAATGACAGTCAGAGATAAAGCAGGGTGAGAATGCCCTGAGTGCCTGGTACATGGGAAGGAGTGACAGATAAATGCAGCCTGGCTCTGAGATTGCTCCCAGAAAACTTTGTAATATTTGTCAACACTATTGGCTCAAAAGTGCTTTTGCTCAGAAATTAAAACAAGCAAAAACAAAAAGCCCCCACCCAAAGCCTTGAAAAAAAAAATTACACAGTAGATAGTCACTATAGACAACTTTATAAAACAGAAAGCCAAAGGAAAGGTTCAAATGACTCTTGTATCCCTCTATGGATCATAGATGGAAAGCTGCAACATGCTGTATATATGTGCACATTGTTCTAGAACTTGCTTTTGAAAATCTCGTCACATGCAGCATATGAGGCCAGAGGCATGGGTGGTGAGGAGGCTGAGGGGGAAACAGGTCCAGGGGGGAGGCAGCCAAGGGATGACATGAAATTCTGAGGCTCCACATTTATGAAAAGTGCCTGGCTGAAGCAGGGGTAAGGTGCTTCGGCTGGTGCATCAGTGCTATCATCTTTTCATCTTGAAATTGGGTTCCTCTCTGCTCCCCAGTCCCCCCTCTGCTCAGCAATTTAGGATTTCCCCTAGCTGCTCATTATCCTTGCTAAATCCCTGCCTGAGGCACTGAATATATTTAACAATCCTAGTGGCTGAACATTCAGACTGCTTCCAAAGAACACGGCCCTCCCTATTTAGAGCTCCTACCCACAGCAGGGCTTGTTGCTTAGAGTCTAGACTCTAGGTTTGGGAATTGAACCCCTAGCCTCTCCCGTGGTTCCTGTCCCTCCCATTATTCATAGGACTGGCTGATATCTGCCCCGCCTGGCTACCAAGGCCTGAGGGAGGAGGAGCCTAAGGGAGGAAGAAATCCTCTTGCTACACTCTTTGTATCCATGGCAACTGGCTCCCAGGAGCCCAGCCTTGGTGCTGGAGTGCTTGTAGGAGGTGAGTGGCCGGCCAGCCAGCCTGCATAGTGCTGCCCCAGGCCAAGGCCAGGCCCAGGCTTGGAGCCTTTTGGCTCCAAGGTCACAGATCTGGCAGGCGACCAGGGACTGCAGATTCTCAGGGCAGGAGGGAGGGAGGTGGTGGTTGCATCTGATACCCTTGGGACTCCTCAGCTTACTAGCGAAGCTGAGACAGGAGACCAGTCAGCCCTCTCAACACAGGGATCTGCCATCTACAAGGGCCAAAGAAATGACTTGGGGTGACAGGTCCCCTTCATTTGGGGGAGAGCAACACTTGGCTCTTAATGGAAAGGTTGGCAGTTAGAATGCACCCAGTGATTCTGCAGGAGAAATGCCTGTGGTTGCTCCCATAAGGATTATAGCCTAGAAAGCCCTATGGAGCAGTTGTACTCTGCCACATGGGTTTACTATTAGTTAAAATTGACTCAGCAGCACCTAACAACAGTACATAGGGTGGGGGTTAAACTAGAAGGCACCGGAATCACACTAGGTTCAGAAGAGTCCTGGATTCTCTGTTTATTAAGAGCAAGTTCCTATGACAGTAAGAAGTACCCAATAATAAGTGACATTTTCTAGTCAATGGTATAATATATATAATTTTACAACAACAGTAATAACCAACAATTATGTGTGTGGTACATAGGTAGAGACGAATACATATATGTGTATAGGAAGTTACAGGTATATATATATATATATGGATGCTCATATAGGCATATCTCCACCACTTGTGTGTGAGTTTATTGTAGTATGGTGGCTTGTGTATTGCTGTGATGGTTGATCACTCAATGCAAACAGGCCTCAGCAGAACTTCCAGACAAAGACAGGCTAGGAGGAAGAAGATAAGAGTCACTTCTGAAACCTTATTGAATAGCAATGGAGCATTGTCTGATATAGTGATGGAAGATGAGCCACGCAGGTTGTAAGGTATTCAAAATATAATTGGGAAAGTAGTGCTGACTTAAGTGACGTGGATAGAGCAATGCTTTTGGGATCTTCATTTGCTGATGGGGCACAACTCAAAATGAAGAGACAGCTGCAAACATTCATTAATAATCAGAATGTGGAAAGCGCGAAGTATGAGTCTAGGAAAATTGGAAGTCATCAAAAATGATATGGAATGAAGATTGTTATCCTAGGGATTAGTGAGCTGAAATGGACTGGTACTGCCAATTTGATTCCAACAGTCATATGGCTTGCTATCCCAGGAATGACAAATTGAAGAGGAATGGTGTCACATTCATTGTGAAAAAGAGCATTTCAAGATCTACCTTGAAGTACAATTATGTCTGTGATAGGAAAATATCCATATACCTACAATGAAGGCATTGTAGGATAAGCACTCCACCACAAGGTCGATTTGAACCACAAGGTCGGCAGTTCAAACTCACCAGTCGTTCCTTGGAAACCCTATACAGGGTGGGAATGGACTTGATGGCACTAAACAATAATAACAAACAATGAAGACCAGTTAACACCACTATTATACAAATTTATGCACCAACCACTAAAGTGAGGATGATGAAATTGATGAATTCTACCAAAGTCTCCTGGTGTGGGAGTCCTGGTGTGGCACTGTGGGTTAATGCACTGGACTGCAAAGTCGATTTGAACCACAAGGTCAGCAGTTCACACACACCAGCTGCTCCTTGGAAGCCCTATTACAGGGTCACTATGGGTTGGAACTGACTCCATGGCATTTAACAACAACAACAATAAACGAATTTCTGCAGTCTGAAATTGACCAAACATGCAGTAAAAATGCATTGATAATTGCTGGTGATTGGAATGTGAAAACTGGAAACAAGAGGAAGAATTTGTAGTTGGAAAATGTGGCCACCTTGCTCATAT